GCCCAATATGAATACGTCTCGTCTTAAAAGATACTCAAACACAGGGCACTTTATGTCGATTGTCGATTAACTCATTGAGTAAGCTGTTATAATTAGCCGTGATCGTTAAGATAATTTTCCTTTTTCGCGAAAGAAGGCATTATTTACCGGCCTTAAATACTCCCTAGCTGCTTTAGATTGCTAGAAATCTTGAAACATTATTCGGAATGGATTTGGCAAAGTGATTTGTCACTGTCAGAAGGAGACAAATATTGTGTAAAAGTAACACAAATCTATGACCCGAATTGTAACTCAACAGATAGCGTAAATTACCTTTTTAAGTTGCAAACACACGCGAGGGATATCGTTCATGATATACGCATGACTACGGAAGGAGTTAGGTGCGCAGGCAAGGGACTAAAAAAGAAAGTTCGACACTTACTCACAACAGCGTATACGGCCGCCGGAAATATTATCAAAATATTTAAAAAAGGCATGAAGCGTCTTCTCCGGTTTAAGCGAGCAAACTACATTGCTTCGGGAATACATTCTATCACGAACGAACGAAAGCGTTGCGCTGTCTGGTCCTCACCAGTGATGGAGACTTTGTTTACGATTAGATACGAAGAGACACAACAGAAGCTCCGATATCAACTGGACTAAAAGCTTCTGTTGGCGACTCCTGCTCTTTCAAACAAACTAGAACCACGTTATGTTTACGCGATTTTGCGCACGTGCGTCATCGCTTTCGTAGGCTAGAAGACGTGTGCACGAACTCAAGAGCTTTTCTTCAAGTTCGCGGCCAAATTTGAATAGTTAGTGATTTCCCCCAAGACTGGTTCGACAGATGAATAGACAGATCCGAACTAGTCTCCCAAGTTACGAGTCACAATTATTTTTTAAGAAGTTCATTTTATTTTTATATTTTGTCTAAGAGGCTGAGAGACTCTTGTGGCAACACTAGAAACGTGACGTCAAATGTATAAAGGGCGCAGCACGGCTTGCTTCCAACGGGTTGCGAGAGTTTGGTGTGAAATGAATGCTATAGAACCTCGCGCTAGGAAAACAAACACGAAAACGCGCGAAATACTTTTGTTTGTCAGATTGCCTACTTGATTTGCAATATACAAAACATGGGACGTTCTCCGCTGGAGGTGACAAATGTTTAATATTGTTTTTGGCATGATCTTTACTTTTCCGTTTTGTTCAATGACTACTTTGAATTCAAAGATAATATATAGCGTGCCTGAAAGAGTGTATTCCAAAAATCTGTCTAGTTTAGCAAGCGCGAAAAAAAGAAGAAGGAAGAGCTGGAGTTTTTTTTTTTTAAGCGAAGCTCACGAGGCTCTTTATGAGAATAGTAACATAAGATCAATCATATCCAATAATAGAGCGTAATTTTCAGTGTACGTTGCCGCTTGGTTTTGTACAATTGTCTTATTTTGCTCGTTCCGAACGGTCCCTGTGACGACTAGCCATTTCGCAGAAAATTAGAGACTAATTCAAGCTGCTATTTAAACATTTCGCTTTCCCATGAATGTTTACTTTACGCAGTTATTGAACATACTAGTCATTAGAACTCTATTAGTTGAATTTCTTTCTACAAGATTGATGAGTATAGATTCCAAGGGTCATTAGTAATGACATGACTGGTATTAGTTTAGTAATAAACATGAAAGCCGTGTACAACACCCTGTAACGCCGAATTAGAGCGCAGCTCTTGAGGAGGAGGAGGGAAGGGTACTGGGGGGAAGGTATAGCCCCTCCTCCCTCCTCCTCACCTCCTCATCCTGCCTGCTACTCCTCCCTCCAAGCTGCGTCGCCGTCGCCTCACGAAGGTCACGTGACCTCATGGGGGTCACGTAACCCCTGTGAGGTCACGTGACGATGGCGTCATCGTCATCGTCACTGATGACGTCATCAGTGACGTCACACGTCCCATAATGCACCGCGCGGTTACGCCGACGGCGACGCCGCTCAAGCCGGAAACGGTCGCCTAAGAGCAGCGCTCTAACATAACCTATTTACGTGTCCGTACATGTTTTGTGGCGATGCTAAAGGCTAACTAATAATATACATAAAGTAACGCATTGGCGAATGGTTTCGCAATGCATAAGAGCACCCAATTTTATCACGTCGTAACACCGATCCTTTCTCATTCGCGTTGCTTTTTATTTTGGTTCAACGGTTTCATTATTCGTCCTACGTCGCCTCTCCAGTGACGGGCTCTGTAGGCGGTTACAATCCAGGGATTAACTTGTCCAGACAGAGATACTCGTAGAACCGATAACACGCCCTCTGCTGTCTGCAGCGGTGCCAATCCTCTTTGAAGCTCGCTTATGTGTGCCTATCGTTGACCTCTAACAAGAAATGGACATTGTAAAGCGTAATTGCCTGCAAACAAAAATACTATTCTTTATTTTGTAACATACAAACAATTGCGGTTGAAGTCAATTGTGCCCCAGTACGAAATTTCAAGTAGTCCCTCCCTGCTCGGCAGGGACGCATCCACGTGCGCATGGGGGCGAATGTGTCAAGCAGTTCCATGTGACCTTCCAACGGCATGGCATCCTGCAGTCGGTTTTCTTTAAGAAACTGCAGCGGACATATCACAAGCTCTAATATTTGTGAGCTGCTTCACTTTTGCGTATTTTGCAAAGTTATGCTCTTCGGTCAGTTGAGTTGCTTATTTCCGGGCTCCATTCCAATTAAACACGTTTAATAAAATATTACGACGATCTAGAAGTGTCATATGGTTTTTCACACTAACGAGAAAAAGATACTAGACTAATAGGGCAGTCACTAATTACATATTGCGTTGTCGTTTAATTCAGTAATCTAATCATTGCGTACAATCAGTATTGTTTTTATATTATAGGACAATATATATACTCTAGACATCTTGGTTATATTTCACTTGTACGTTCTATGTGATTTTGCGAGCGCATAAACAGTAAAATGCACAGATTATATTGTCAAGATAATTTCGAGGAGTAGAGTATTTGATCTCGTTGGGCTATTTGAGTTCAAACTCATATTATTGGTATTTCGAAACAAACCCTACACATAGTTATGATTTACGTGGTATTAGCCCCATTGCATCAAATTATAAAAATTGTAGGCTTAAGGCTGTTTTTTGTCTGTGTAATAAAAGCTCAAGTTTTGCAACCCTCTTCGCCACTGACCCGAGAAGTGTATGCACAGGTGATTCCTTATCAGAGCCCGATAAAAGACTGACAGCTGCTCTAAAAGTTAGATAGAAGTGTATCGACATATGGCGTGATTTCTGAAGAATCAACCGATGCACTGCTCTTTCTTCTGGTGCTGCGTGGAAAATGGCAAAAATCTTACATTTCCTTGCTCAACCGTTTCTTTATTCACGTGAGTTCTAAAAAAGGTCTATATTTCATGGTTGCCTACAGCTTTCGTCTCAAATTGTCAGTGATGTAGACATTTGGCGTCATTCAGCACTTGTCGCCGGTTTGAAGTCCGTTGATTGGTGTTTCAGATTGGTTCATCCAGAGTCAACTGAGTCCCATTAATGCTATATACGGTTTGAGATATAATGCATTCGCTGCACTGAAAGCAAGTCTCAGTAAAGGGCCATTCCGACGCATTCTGTATTTACGCACTGGACGCTCAATCTTTTCTTATCTCTTTCCTCTAGATTCTTCAAGATATGGTGGAACGTTATGGACTAGCCACAGTCCGAGATTAGACTTTCGCGAAAGCGACAATGCAAAAAAAAAAAAACTGAAATAGTTTTTTTTTTGTTTAGTTAGACTCTGAACTGGTGTTGTTTATTTTTTTATTGTCATATTTGTCAAAATTCGTATTGTTAACTAGTTATTTCTTCACACAAAAACGTCCACGATCAAAGACGTTGCTGCGAGTTAGATGGACTGCGATCATTTACGATTACTTCGCTTGTGTTTATGGTTCACAATGTCGTACTTCCTTCACGTTTGACACAGCCACGAGTTACGTAGAAAAAAGATTGCCAATAAGATAGTACCGACTTCATAATCTTTTTTTTTTCTTCTATTTTGGCAACGAACATTCATTGTTAACACGCTTTTGTACATACAGGATCGTGGGTCTTCACTTCGACAAAAGATATCACCACCTTCTACATAAGTGTACATGAAGCTTGAGGCTAGAGATTTGGATTATCTCAAACTTTTACAGATTTTGACTCTAATGGTTAGCTGAGCATGGTTCGTCAAACCTTTAAATCGTTTCCTACCTGTGATATTGATAAACTACGTAGCAATACCCCCCCCCCCCCCCCCCCCCCCATCCACCCCGTTTAACTCCTATTCATCCAGATAAACGGCTTGCTGTGTGAATAACGTACACGATTCTAAACGCCAGGGTTCTCAAAATGTTCGTATGAGCTTCTGGCTTACAAGGTTTGAGATAAAACTGGTTTGGTGTTACGTACTTCCCATCCCATTGATTGAATAGAGCGTACTACTAGATGTGGCCAGTCAATGTCCAGAAGCTAATTTTTATTGTCCTAGATCGCCAAGGCGTGTACCATTTCTCTTTACATCTTGTCAGATGAGCTGCTACAACACCACAAAGACAGAAAGACGCAGTACTAAATTGTCTACGTCAAATGAAGTAGCGAGCGCGGGGTGCGGATTTGACACAAGTGCTGCGTCAGTGCTACAAACTCGTTCTCGCACTCTTAGATCACGAGTTCTGAGTCAACGCTGACGTAGCACTCGCGTCCCGCCAATTTGTGCGTCTCGCTGGTCTCTTTGCAGGTGCCGTAAAAAATTTAACCACCACGACCCACTATTTAGGCAGTTGGACAGGGGCCAGGTGTAATGCATGCAGTATTTAAAGTCCGCATGAATAAAGTTTAGTTGTAAGTCAGAGCTGTTGTCTGAGTCTTCTTTTACCTTCTCTCTGTCTTTACAGTGTTTGTACTTTTAATAATGAGGCAGTCAAAGTTAGTCTGGGTGGTGCTGGTTAGAACCAGCGGGTGCCGAATTTCGGCGAGCGTTCCTCACCTGCCAAGTTGAGCAGGGTGTTGTTGAGCACCAGGGGCCAGGCCGCCACCTCGCGGCTCACGGAGAACTCGCTAAGCATGCCGAAGAACAGCAGACCGACCACCTTGCCGGAGGCGTGCATGAACACGTTCACGCCGGCGCAGGCCATGGCCACCACCCAGCTGTAGGCCGAGTCCGGGCCGGTCTTCCGTCTCCGGTGCCTCGATGTCGTGGTCCTAGTCGAAGCCCTTCGGGACTCGGTGGTACCTTCCTTCGCGGACGGCATCGTAACAGCCGCGTCGCGAGTCCGCGGCTTCGCCGAATGCCCGTGTCGTCACCCTCGTTGCTCGTATTCGCTCCTCCTTCGGGGTCGGGTGCACCGGCGTTGCTGCTCAGAACGCGGGCGGCGGTCGGGGAGTCCCTACGCCTACGCCTGTGGGATTCCGAGTGGTTGGAGCGGGCTCTTTTGACGCTCATACTGCCGCCAGGCTGACGTCCTCCGCTCGTCGTATCGGGCGAGGCGGTGCTCTCCCTCGTCTCGTTACAGGGCCCCGTGCCGGGTTCCCCAGGTGAGGGAACGTTCGTCCCCAGGTGTCGTCTTTGTTCTTCTCTTATCTGTTAAGCGGACGGCGCCGCTTTCCAGTTCCTGTTCTGGGACGTCCGCGAGTGGTGGGAACGAGAGTACGCGCTTTGATAAAACGCGGTAGCGAAGTAAGCTGGTGTTTCGGAAGCGATGATCCTTGGACTGCATTCTAGAGGCCAGTTTACACGTTTAGGTTTGGCAGCGATCGACGGAGTTGCAACCGAATGTACCCATTGTATGACGAGAAAGCATACTAGCACCATCTCTATCAGGCAGCACTAAAAACATTCTCGATCCGCGTATAAAATCAGTGAAGAATTTGCAATATCTACGAGATGAAACCTATGCGTTTTCAGTGAGAAATATTCTCGCTCCGCATTGTCCCAAACGGTTGCAACACAGTGGATTACATTCAAACGCAAAACGCAAATCTGTGAACCATCTTTCGGGAAAGCGATATTTGGAGAAGCGCATGGGACGGATCCTGCGTTGCAGAAGTCAAACGTCTTGAAAAGTGGTTGGTGTCCCTTCTCACAAACGACCGCAACTGTATATGAGAAAGCGTCCTTCCAATGGAATAGAGTTGTTGCGCAATGCGGAATGGAAAGTCGACATTTTAATTAATTATTTTCTACGTAAGTACGCATCTCACTGTGAACTGGAAAAAAATAAGTGATGGAATCAAATATTTTAGAACAATAATAAGCGATAACCGTATAGTTATCGTCCTAATCGATACCCCCGAAGGGCGGTTCTCATTTGAACCCGTTCGCATTCCTACCTTCTCGTTTTTACCTTCTCATTTCAACCCAGCGCAAAACAACTTTCGCGTTTCTCCCTTTCTCATTTAAACCGTTCTCAAAACAAACTTTTGGGTTTTGACCCTTCTCAAAATGACTTTTTTTATTTTAACCTTTCTCATTTCAAATTTTCTCAAAACATACTTTCTGGTTTTGACCATTGTCAGAAAGACTTTTCTCATTTTATTTTCTCTCATTTCGAACCCAAATTAATTTAACATCATGATCTCGCAATCTTTCCGCGGTATTTATGGCGAATTCGGGTAATTAATTGCCTTGGAGCCCTTGCCTGTGGCACCGGCGACCAAAAACGCGCCAGCGGCGCATCACGTGACCCTCTCCACCCGAATGCAAAGCACAATGAACTGGCGTTTTTATTTGACTGGGTCGCGAGTGAGCTCTGTTAAGTTCTTCTTCGATCATTCTATGGTACCATGAGCACGCTGCATACGCCAACAACATAAATTACGACACTTTGAGATGTGTGTAAACAGAAGCGGCTTCACAAAACTTTTCAAAATATTGGCATTACCACAGTCCGTACAGCTGACAGAATATTAAAATATAAAATCAATGAAAGGGCAGTTGTATAAATCAGTGTGGTGCTGCCCGCACGCGCGTCAAATTTCAATAGACTTCGTTTGGATTTTGGATTAACTGTTGCCACGAGGCTTGCCAGCGTCGCTTTCCATATTCTGTTTACTGTTAGTAGAGAGTTTTAGTAGATCGTTCCCGTGACTCCGATAACGATACCCGATACTCCGCCGCCGCCTCTCTTGTGCATGCATAGTACCGTTATCGGGGCTACCGGGACCTAACGATCTACTAAAACTCTCTAGTACCTCTTTTGGAATCCTCAGTCTTCTCATTGCACCAACCCTCCTTGAAATTGTAATGCGTGTTCAAGTTTCAAACGGCATCACTATGCATACTTTTTTTTTTCAGCGGTGTAATAACTTGTTATTACAGAGTTGTAAAATAAAGTGATGTATGATGGCAGCCCGTGTCTCAGAGCAAACATACGTTGCTCAGGCTGGATAAATTCTTAAAAAAATGTTGACTTTCTTTGAAACATAAATTATCTTTCTCTTCGTTGTTTTTTCTATCTTGTCTCAGAGCACAAAAGGGTGCCTGTCTCGATGGCTTCGTTTGCCACTCGAACCCGCTATTTGCCGCCTCGGCGAGCATTGTTTCGTTTGGTTCCCTATCCCGATTTGGATGTGACGATACCGGATACAGTCTGGCAGACAAGCTGCCCGACCTCTTGGAGCTCGGGAAAAGTTCTACTGGTAAATTGCCGGTACATGCCTGAGAAGCGCAACCCGAAGAGCTTGCACCCGCCAGCTTTTGAGCTACGCGAATGCCCTTGCCGAAGATATGGGAAAACTTTTTTTCAGGAAAAATGACCACCCGAATTGGCCATTACAAGCAATAACACACGACTAGCACAATGATCCATCCGCTCCACACGACGACATCTTAACGACATACAGCGACAGAAGAGAAATGAAGTACCGAATCTGCGCTAGCACTTTTGAAACCACGTCACCATGTGACCACGTAGCTACGTCAACAGACTCGGGGTGGCACGCAGGCATAAGGAAAATTGTTTCATATGCTATGCAAGAGATGGTGCCGCTTCGCTTCATCTTCAACCTTCATCCTCAACTGTTTTTCCTTCTTTCTATACCTCACTACGGTGTTCAAATGACAACGGGTTTAAATGAGAAAGGGTCGAAACGCGAAAGGTTAAAACGCGAAGGGCGTTTTGAGAATGAGTTCAGACGAGAAGGGTTCAAATGAGAATGGGTTCAAATGAGACGGGTATAAATAAGAAAGGGTCGAAACGCGAAAGGTTAAAACGAGAAGGGCGTTTTGCGAATGGGTTCAAACGAGAAGGGTTCAAATAAGAATGGGTTGTTTCGAGATACACCCCTTCGAAAGTTTTGGACTGGTAGTACATTGTATTAAACAGGCGTTCTTCGGATAGCCTCAAAAAGCTGAATACCACACTATTGTCATGGTCGTTCCCGGATGATTAAAGAAAAGGGAGCAGAGGAGAGAAAGCCACGAGTCAAGGGAGTTTGTGGGCGGCGTGTCGAAGCGTTCGGGACAGGCAGTGACAAAGCCCGGAACCGCAAGGACGACCTCTGTTGCATTGCCCAGACTCCGAGAGGTTCGACGTTGCTGCCTCCCAAGCGATCAAGGTGCCGACCTGTCGAGGCCGAATAGATTGCAAAGGAGGCGACCGTCGGCATTAATCGCCGTTCAGTCACCTGCCTTGCTTCTGGCTGACCAACTGACCGACGCTGCCGATCTACGGCACTATCTACGACATTACATAGCCATCTCTTTCGTGAACCGTCACGTTTTGCGAGTACACAACACGTACATCGATCAACAAATCCCTCAACAGAGGCTTTTACGTTACAGGAACCCATGATTTCAATTAAATAGCATATCGCATTGAGGTGTCTTCTGTTGTTTCATTTTAAAATCACTACTATCACAGCCGTGCTTTCGGCAGTAAGTCTATTTCAGTTTTTTTCTATCTACAATTATTTTTGTATATTATTTTGGGTTATGATTTTTTATCAAGTAGGTCATGCCGGCTCGAATAGGACGAACAGACATAAACCAACTGGCACCTGGTAATAAAAACAACAACAAACATGAACCTCGGTTAGAGAAGCAGGGATGAAATTTCTTATTGTAAGTATTCTATGTTTGTTCCGTGGAAGGGGACGGGGTTGCGCGTTACTTGTGTGCTTCTAGGCGAGGAGGAGAACAAGGGGGACAAAGGACAAATGCCAATCTTTTGTCACAGCTAGGTGACTGGTGCCCGACTGAAATCTGGGGATTGTTATTGTTATTCTTGTCCTGCTCGCTGCACCTTTGCATTAATTCTATTAACATCGTAACATTAAACTCCAGGCCGTTCAGCCTTTTAGGTGTTGGATTGGTGGAAGCTGCTAAAACCTTTTTGCTCTACTGACGTCTAACTCCTGGTTAGCTCAGTCGGTAGAGCGCTCCACGGAAAATGGAGAGGTTCCTTGTTCTATACGAGGACGAGGCGGATTTTGTTTTTGGCCTTACACCAGTCACCTATAGTTGCGGATGGAGATTTGTGTTTGTCTTGCGTCCCCTTTGTTCCCCTTCTCCGGGGATTATTATCATTATTCTTGTCCAGCTCGCTTAACCTTCGCATTAATCTAACAATATTAATCGCATTTCTTCCAGCTTTAGGTAGACAATTTTTCACAACACGAAAGTATTAAGGAAGCTCGAGAAAAAAAAAAATTAAAAACGTTTACAATTCTCTGTATTGCCGAATTAGAGCGCAGCTCTTGAGGTGGAGAATGGGACGATATAGAGGGCGGGGTATGCCCCTCCGTACCCTCCCCTCCTCCTCGCCTGCTTCCCTCCCCTTTAGCGGAAAATACTCGCTAAATTTCTCGCTAAATTTAGCTAAAATTTCTCCGCTAAATTTAATGGGAAAATATTCCTGTTAAATTTAGCGGGAAATTTACCGGAAATTCAGCGGACATTTTCTCGATAAATTTAGCGAGACAATTTAGTGAAAAGTTTCCCGCTAAATACAACGGGTAAACTGAATTAGTGTTGAGGTGACGTGACGTCAGTTTCCCCACTTAATTAAGCCTGAAAATTTTCCGCTACATTTAGCGGGGAAATTTTCCCGCTAAATTTAGCAGGGGAAGCATACATTTCGTGAGCTCAACACCATTTCAGTTTCCCCGCTAAATTTAGACGAAAAATTTTCGCTAAATTCAGCACAAAAATGTTTCGTCTAAATTTAGCGGGGAAACTGAAATGGTGTTGAGCTCACGAAATGTATGCTTCCCCTGCAAAATTTAGCGGGGAAATGTTCCCACTAAATTTATTGGGAAAATTTCTCATAATGCAGCGCACGCGGTTACGCCGACGGCGACGCTGCTCAACCCGGAAACGGGTGCCCGAGAGCTGCGCTCTAAAAATAGCACTCTCTTCCCGGAAAGTAGAAGACCATTCTTCTTAGGGGTACGGTCAGCGATCGGTAACAGTTAACCTAGCGCGGCTCGGGGCTTGTGGCGCGAAAACTCGTGCTGCAGGACGGAGGGATCTTGGAGTTCAAGTACAAGACCTGCCTGTGTCGACCTGGATAAGCATCGTACCTGCGTCCAAAGAGGT